CATGTTAATGTGGACTAATTAGTTGTAGATGTAGTGCATGCTGTTTGATGATTTTCTCTCTGGTTATGATAATGATAATTTGATACAAATCTCGTAAATTCAAGTGCTAGGTGAGAGTATAAGGAAATATGTGAACACTACCTGATCAACTTGTTATGTAGAATAAAATTAATAGAGGGACAATGGATGAATTTTCAGTTTCACTTCTGACATATGAACTTAGAATGCTTGTGAGAGTCCATCAAAAATATTAATTAAATGATTTTAGTGGGAAGGAGAGTTTTGAAAGGGAACCTTGGGACTGAGAGGGTTCAAGTCTTGAGAGCGATTGTTTGTTCAAAATACCAAGAGAATGCATGTCGCTTATACACCCTTATGGTGGGATGCCCAATTATAGTTTCACCCAAAATTTAAACTAAATTTTAACTTAAATTTTGTATTTATTGTGTTGGAACTTGAAAAGGAAGGCCCAATTTTTTCCCGTCGCACAGGGTCTCAATTTTCTCGGGACCGGTCCTGTTGCAAGATACTATCCATACACAATCTATTTTATTTGAATTGGTTCTTCTGCTTTAGTCATTTGTGAAGCTTTTTTGCGGTAATGTATCTGCTACATTTCTCTCTATATATCGTAATCATCAATGCCCGCAACCAGTGATTGAGCTAGAAAAACGTGTGAGGTCGAAATATAATATAATTATATACAATATCAAAATGGTAGATCGTTATTAAACGATACTTAATTAAACGATACTTAAGTTAAATATTTTATATGTAGCTTAGATAAATGACAGTTTAATGAAGCATATTCAGTTATAGTATTGATATTTATGCAATGTATTATAATGTTCACACAACTAATGAGTGAATAAGGTGTTTCGTTTTTAAATTTAAGAATGTAATCAATATCACACATCAAGATTTGCTTATTTCTAAGTTAAGATGGTGTTGATTTTTTTCAGAAGTCATAACTTTTTATTCGTAATGGGTTACGAGACCCATAATATATCAAATTGAAGATATTTTAGAGCTCTACATTCTCGAACTTTCAGAGGGGTCGGCTGACCACCCTGACCCCCTTTGGCTCCGCCCCTGCCCGCAACAAGTATGTTAAGATTAGTTATCATTTTGTTCGTGAATGTGTGGTAAATGGAAATATACTTGTTCCACTTGTTCGTTGTGTTCTTAGTTAGTTACCATTAGGGGTGAATATTTTTACCAAAAACTATCGTGCAAGTGTTTTACCTTTTAAATAACCAATCTCAATGTGGTTTCCCTCTCATAGATTATGTGGATATAATAATAGGATTATTATGGATCATTCTTTAAGTTGTGATACTTATCTAACCTTTTCACAATATATACAAAATTATAAGGATGACCGAGAGTTTTGCTATTTTGAGCATAAAATATCTATTCATAAAAATATCACAAAGCTCTCCCAAGCTGTACTCTGCGATTAATGGCTCACGTCGTTCCATTAAAAGGTAACACGGGTGGTAGAGTTTCGCACCAGACTGGCCGCTTAGCTTGTTTCTCTTCTTCATCATCATCTACTTTGGCCCTTGTAAGTCTTTCATTTAGTGATTGTGCTTGGAGGAGGTTTAGTTGAATGCAGCGATGCAAAAAAAAAAATCTCATTTTTTGAGCAAATATTAAATCGGACTTTAAGGGATTTGTTCAACATGTCCGAATAAAAAACTTCAACAGAAAAGTCCTTATTGCTTTCACGATTAATTAATATCTAAATCATAACAATAGTTCCCCACAATCAAAATCTGCCATACAAAGCACGATCCTCAAAGTATGATGAACCAAGAACTTATCCCTTAAGAAGCTGATCACTCTGTTATTACTCTCCTGAACAAAACCAGTCAAATAAGCTGCAGTGATGAGTGCAAAGCTTCTCCATCTCCTCTGCTTAGTGTATTTCGCAAGGCTCTCTTTTATCCTTTTGAAACTATCATCATCATCATCATCTTGTATTGGTCTTTTCCCCAACAATGCGCCTGCAAGGCACCGGGCAAGTACAATGCTGTCTTCAAGGGCAGAGCACCCACCCTGCCCGAGATCGGGTGTCATCGGATGGAGGGCATCACCGGCTACACAAACGTTGTCGCGGGCAATGTCTCCTAGCAACACATTCCATGGGAGTCTTAGCTTTAGCTTAGAACTGGAAATAGAGTGCAGTGGAGTCCTCTCAAGAATGTCGCTCACTTCCTCCGACACATCCTTAGCCTTGCTTAGCACAAACTTCTTGAGTTTGATGGGATCATGCGCCTCACTTTTATCGACTGCAATAAATCAATCAATGCTGTAAAAGGATACCGCAAGTGCGTTATGCGGATAAATAGATGTGTGGAACAAGTAGAATGAGTTTGCTTACAGTGGGCAAGAGATTGGTTGTAAGTGCAGAACCAATACAAAGCATTATCATCACAAGGAAGAAAGCCGAAGCGCACACCACCTCCATAAAAAGCATAAATCTTTGGCTCATACCCATGCGCATACTCAACGAATCCTCTAATTGCTGATCTCTTCGAATCAACTGCACTCTGGAGTCCCAACCACTTGGCCACCATTGAGTTCACTCCATCGCACCCAATTAGAACCTTCAACACACACAATATGGCATTTTTTTAGTTTTTTTCTTCTATTAGGTCTGTCAATCTTATACTATTATTTATATTTTATACTAATCTAGGATGGCATAATTACTACATAAGCAGCTTTCACTAAAAAATGAGTTTCAAATTTTCTGTGCGAGCTTCAATGTTCATCCAATCCAATATAATATACAGATTGAACGGCTAGCTAGTTTACCTTAGCCTTGATAACGGACCCATCTGCGAGATGAACCAATTTGAACATTCCAGATTCTTCAATCATAACCACCTTTGAGGAGTACCGTACGGTTGCTGGAGGCAGCTCTTTGTTTAATGTCTCCAGTAACAATTTCCTTCTCAAGCAGCGGCTCTCAAAAGTCCTATGAATTAATTATCAGAATGAAAGGCATTTGCAATCATGTTAGTGTTTTACAGTTTGGATGACTTCACTTCTTGAGCATATTGAACTCTCTATGATCTACAAATTATAAAAAAAGTTTACCATACATTTTATGAATTAATTAACAGGTGATTTAATCATCCTAGTTGAATGAGAAGAAAATGGGGTTGGTAAGAATAAGACAGATGCAGAAAATAACAAGTGTATCTAACAGAGATTCATGTCTCAATAAAACTCACTCACTGATTCTTGTGCAAATGCAGTGGTGCGGCAGCAGTGGGAAGCCCGGAGTCTGCAGAGAAAACCTGGTACCTGCAGTTGCAGTATATTTTTCTTCTTTAAATCAACAACCAAGAGGATCATCATGTATGCACAACACTGTGGGTAAACAACAACAACAACAAACAAACAAAAAGAAGAATCAGAAGAAGACAGGGCTACTTACTCGCTGATCTGGAGGGAGTGTTGCCTGAGACAATCTCCAATTCCAAGCGCGTCAAGTGCCCTCCACCCATTCGTCCACAATGAAAGCGCGAACCCTGTGTTTCTTAAGCCCTCTGATGACTCCACCACTAAGCTCCTCACCCCCTCCCTATCATTATTGACGGAGATGACATAAGAGAGGGAATGTGAGAAGCTAGATGTCTAGAACAGACTACTTGTATATATAATGCATGCTTGGTAGGCATCAACTCCTACCTTCTACCTTTTGTACTATTTAAAAAGTCTACAAGATGTTCTAGTTGTATGTGGCATGACCATTTTTAAGAGTTTTTCTCAAAATAAAAGATCTTTTTTGAGGAGAGTCTGTAGCTTTTAGCATTAAACAACAGCTTGTTATATCAAACAGAACTAAATCAAACAGTCAGCTTTTTATCAAACAATTACAACTTTGTCCTTTTAAGATCTTTTTAGTCACTAAAAACTACTCCCTCCGTCCCGCTATGATTGTCCCATTTTACCTTTTCAGTCCGTCCCACTAAGATTGACCCATACCTTATTTGATAAAATTTGTGTGGTTCTATATCATTCATCCTCTATTCTTACTTTATCAATTCAATATCAACCACATAAACCCACTTTTATTAATAACCGTGCCACTTTCTCTTGTCCCAAACTTAGAGGGACGGAGGTAGTAACATTTATTAAAAAGCTCACAAAAGTATATTTTCAGCTAGTTGTGCGGTTGTGCCAAACATACCCATAATCAATAAATTGTGTCTTTTTGGTACTTCACAAGAAAGGGAACTTACAAGATCAAGCTATCTAAACATTTTAAATTGATTCTCTATATTATTATTTTATATAGTCATATAAAGTTCTGATTCTCCTTCACCTTTTTTAAAAGAAGTAGAACCATAACCTATTCCAAACATCCCTTATTAGTACACGGTTGTTGAAATATCTAAGAGGAACATTTATAAATTAGTTTTGGTTTGGTAATATCTTTTTTAGCTTCAATTTTTTTTTATCAGAGACTAAGGTTTGGTTAGTAAATTTTGATTTCTTACGCAGAACTATGTAATAATGAATATAGTAAAATTATGCTCCACTCTTTAGTGCTTTAGGTTGACATGTGTTTATTCTCGTATATTTATTTATTTGTGAAATAATTGGGTGTATGTACAAGTTTAAATAGGTGTAGTGAATTAATGTCATGTATTTATATAAATAAAACATATAGCCTCTTAAATTAAAATGAAAGGAAGAAAATCTCCTAAAAATGTGATACGCATTTAATGTCCTTAACAAAATACTCTCGTGCTTATTAGTTTATCCCGTCAAATATGCTATGTATTTAAATTATCAAAAGATAGGCTATTAAGGGGGTGTTTGGAACCGCTTTTAGAAACTGATTCTGCTCTCCCAAGGAGCACTTTGAAGCAGAATCAGTTTTGAAGGTGTTTGGATCTGATTTTAAAAGTGATTTTAAATGGCTGAAAAATCAGATTTGTAGAATCTGGGTAGGAGCAGCTTCTCCAAAACAGCTTCTGATTCTTCAAATTTTATTCATTAAATGCCCTCACTCCATATCACGATGCACGCCACATCGAATTAGGGCCTGCAACTGCTGCGAGAGCTTGGCTTCTTCTCCAGCCAGTTCTTCTCTTCCGGCTCTTCTTCTCCGATCAACAGCCCAGGTAAATCACCACCCAGCTTCTTTTCTATTCTCGTTATTCTAGAGTTTTGTTTTGTTTTTTAATTTTCTCTTAATTAATATCTTTATTCAATTATTATTGGGTTTGTCCTCATCTTCTCTTCACCCACCAGCTATCTTTCACGGAGTATTTTCTTTTAACAATTAACAGCCTATTGCAATGAGAATTCTAAACCCACTAGCATATTTTATTTGGAATACATTATCTAAGTAATTTTATTTTTTCATATATCTTTATATACTATATTACAATGAATGCCTACTATATGTCTTTTGGTAAATTTACACCAAAATCAGTTTTTAAAAGCAAGCTATCCAAACACTCTAAACTGATTCTCTACTACATACAGCAGAATCTATACCAAACACTCCAGACAGAATCACTTTTTCAGAGAGCCGAAAATTCTGATTCTGATTCTCACTTAAAAAAAGAAGCAGAATCTGAATCAGTTCCAAACACCCCCTAATTGAACTTCTCTTGTTTATATATGCCATATAGCTATTTAGCCCCCTTTATTTATTTGATATGATACATTTTAACTTTTATTTATTTATTAAAGTAGCCAACCACTTTATGTTTATAATTGATTCTACTATACGGATCTAAAATGTTATTTGCACATTTAATTCTTCTCAGGTAATATGGGAAGATGTTTCTTAATTAAAATTAAAATGTTTTACATACTACGTAGTAGATAAAACACTATAAACAGTAAACATCGAAAAGATGCCAGGATTGCCAGAAAGAAAAGAATAATTTTAGACATATATTAATAATTATTAACCATTTTACAGGCCAAATTGAAGGGACAAACAAAAAAAGAAATTTCTGGTTGAATTAGTTGGACTATTTTAGCTTTTTTTTTTAAATTTATTTTATCTTTTTTTTGATCAATTTTATTTTATCTTATAAATGAAACATATTTTTAAAAAAAACTTCCCCGTAGATTTTGGTAATTTGAAAAGATTGAGCTCATTCAGTCCATTTGAAAAGCTTCTCTTCTTAGAATGAAAATTAAGAAATAGAGTTTTCTGCATCTGAAAAAATGCATAGCTTATACGGAGTAGTAATTTTGACAACGCCAGTTTTTCTTTCAACTCTGTTTACACCAATCTATTTAACTAATAAGCCCTAAATCTCTAGGTATCCAAATCTTTAAAAAAATCAATCCATCCTTTTTATATTACTTGCCCCACTTTTCATATTGCTTGTCTCACCTCATTTTCTCAAAATGATCAAATAAAAAAATTATTAGACTACCCCTTTAAAGAGTATGCGGTGCTAAAAATGCGAAAATAAATCCTTAAAAATCACTCTCTTACCCTAACCTACGTGATTATTGAGAATCACTTCTTTACAGAACAAACAAATGAAAATTGATTGTAACTATAATAACTAGACTAGATACTGATGTATTGAAATAAAAAAAAAATACAATATCAAAAACACACCAAGTTGAATTAAGGAGAAATTATGAAAGGAAATACTACTACCTGTGAAGCCCAAGAGCAGTAGCAAGACCAGAAATTCCAGCACCAATGATCACAACATCCTCTGTCATCTCCATTATTTTTTCAATTCTCTCTTTGCAATAATTAGCGGTTCTATAAATATTGGCCCCTCACCTGCCTCGCCCACCATTCTTGATCATCAGCCGGCGCAGGCCCACCACTTGTCAATTTCCGGAGTATAATACTACCTCCATGGCTCCATCCCTAATAAAACTTCAAAATGAGTTGGGCACACAGTTTAAAATAATGGTGGTGGAGAGTTGTGCAAAGGAGAGAGAAATGTGTAAGAAATGTTGTGAATCACATATTTTGTACCAAAAAGGGAAAGTTGAAGTTTTAATTGGGACGGACAGAAAAGGAAAGTTGAAAGTTTATTTAGGGATGGAGGAAGTAACAAAATAATGGGAGGGGTTTGGGGCGGGAACACTGTATCAAATTTTTTAGATTTGGATTTTATTACAAAGGAAAATTCTTTCGATGTGTAGATGTGTTATGTAATGATGATGCTCTTGATATATGAGATGGCCTGAAATTGGTTTACCGAGATGTGAGATAACTATGCACGTGATGTAGATTAATAAATGGTTAAACTTAAATAAAAGCTAAGGTTGCTTCGAATAAGACGAATAACGTGGAAAAACAATTAATTTAAGGTGACAATTTCGGTACCTTTCTAAAATATGGGGTACCTTATGATTCATTTGATTGGACCATACCACTATATCATTTTTAATTTGGATTTAAATAATTCAAATGTTACATTCTCATTGATCCATGTAGACAAAGGTATGGTACCTAATGGGTTCCATACCTTAATTTTCCTTAATTTAATTTTCCTTAATGATGCTACATGGATGGAGTACAATGTATGGCTGGACAGTTAATTTAATTTGTTGTATCATACTATCATTACATTAACAATTGAACTTCTCAAAACTAATTTGATTCTATATAAAGCATAACATTTTTTGCATTCGTGGAACATTGTGAGGCTGCTCACATATAATAGCCCAGTATATTTTAGGATATTATTGTACCTTCCATATTATCATTCTATTATAAATATACCATAAGGCTACCTAGTTTGGTAAGCCATTATTCCCATAATACTATTCTCTCATATGGTATCAGTCGTACGGTTCTAACCCTATTTTCCCTATGGCGGCATCTTCTACCGATTCTACTTTCACGATCGATGCACGACCGCCGCCCTCTTCTCAGGCGTCGTCATTCTCGATCGAAGCATCTGGCGTGCCACTCACTACCACGGCTGCACAGGAATTGTTATCTAAGGCGCCCGCATCTACGGTGGTGCAAGAGCAGCCACGTTTAGGCAACACTTTTGTCATGCCGCCACCATACTCGTCCTGGGAACCTCCGCTCACTCAGCCGGCTTCCTCGTATGCTCTTTTTCATATGCCTGAACCATTTACATCGGTTTCTTCGCCAACGGTGCCCCCTGCTTTATTCCCTTTGTCATCAGTACATCCGGTTAGTGATGGACCCGGGCCGGGTCGGGCCCGGACCGGGCCAAGGCCCGGTCGGGCCTCGGGTCAGGTATAGGTTGGCCCGGGAACGGCCCGGGCTATGGCCGGTTCCGGTTCGGGCCGGGCCACCCGGCCGGGTCACGGGTCGGGCCACCCGCCGGGCCGGGCCAGTTCAGTATATTTTTTTTAAAAAAAATAATTATATATTATACAAATTCCTATTAAAAACAAAGTTCAAGTGCATTTATTTGAAATAGGAACTACATTTGAGAATTGAGAAAAAATTAACAATACGAAATACATTTTCTAATAAATATCAATTGGGATTGCTGCCGACGTTGGTTGTTGTTTTCCCTTTGTCACAGGACTTCATATGTTTTATTGACATCCCGTATCCGTGTGAACGCCCCAAGCAACACTCTTTCTTGCACCACTTGCAAGTTGCCCACCACAGTCCGGTCTTCGGGTCCTTCCACTTATCAAAATTGTTTTGCATAAGGGAAGATGTACTTTCCATCTTTAAAATGGTATATGTAATATGTATAAGTAGGAATGTAGGATAATAAGAGAAGATGAAGATGGAGAAGAGTTGGAGAAGAGGTGTAAAAAATGGTAGAAAGTAGATGTATTTATAGATTTTTTTGAACCCCACCCCACACCACCACCCCCGGGACCCCCCTTCCCCCTACCCTAAGCCCCAACGGCTATATAGCCGTTTGGGAGCTAATTTAAAATGTTTTTTTTTTTTTGAAAATTAAACATTTTGTAAAATAAGTTAATTAGTTTAATGAATTAAGTAAGTAAAACTATTTTTACTTAGAAAAGTGGTTTGATTTATAATTTACAAATGTTACAAAATAGGTGTATAAGTATTTAAACAAATTACATATTGAAGTTGTAACATGTAAGTTTGTAACCAATTAATTAATTTACATATTAATATTACATATTTTAATTTAAAAACAGCCTTTATATTTTACAAAAATAATTTGAAGTTGTAAGTTATAAGTTTGTAACCAATTAATTAATTTGAGAAGTGCTACATATGAAAAAATGAACGCATATTTATTTGAAATATGAAGTACAAGTTTACAAATTAATTTGAAGTACAACTACAAATTTACAATTTTGAAATATGAAGTACAAGTTTACAATTTTGAAATATGAAGTATAAATTAATTTGACAAGTGCTACAAAATACATTTTATAATAAATTCTAAAATACAAATCAATCGGAATCTCCGGCATAGGTAGAGCCACCATCGGTTGTTGAGTCATCCATAAAATCTTGGGAGGGGGTGATGTTCATTTCTTGAGTTCTACGTGCGGCCTTCAACCAATCGTGGTAGCATATAAGCGTCTCAAAAGACTCCGCGCTCAATCTCGATCTAGATGCCGTTAGGACGTTGCCGCCCGAACTAAACTCTTGTTCCACAGCAACTGTTGAAACCGGCATTGATGGTACTTGTTTAGCCATCCAAGCTAAAATCGGGAACGTTCTTTCTTTTGACTTCCACTAGTCTAGAACGTCAAAGTCATCATTTTCTTCAAAATCAACTTCATATGTTAAATACAAAGTAATCTCATTCAATGCGCTTTGTTCAGTGACGTGAGTTGTTTTAGTTTTTTTCATAAGATTGCCAAATGCAGATTTAAAAATCAATTTTCCTTTAGATGAAGATGTTCGTAACGGGGGAGGGGGAGCATTGCTATATTGTGCACGAAACTCATTAAATAAGGCATAAAATAAAGCACTAACCTCGTTGTATTCCGTTTTCGGATCCATGGGGTTATCGTCATACATTGGAAATTCACCAAAAAACGCAAGATAATAGAAGTTGAAACAATCTTCCAAATTAGCAAGTCTAAAACGAGGATCGAGAATAAATGCAGTACCTCGTCCAAACCTCAGTCCCTGGCCAGCCCTCCGACCAGCCCGTCTACGTCCAGTCCTTCGTCCAATTCGTCTAGGTCCGCTAGTTCGTCCACCCCGTCATCTCCCTCTCCTCCTCCACGCCAAAATGTCCATCTTATGCGCACTCGGGCTAAAGACGGTATTTTTAAACCTAAAAACATTTTTCTCTTACCACTAGTGAGTGTCCCCCGGATCCTACTTATTTTTCACAAGCAAATAAAAATTTAAAGTGGCGGGCAGATATGGCTGAAGAGTTTAATGCATTAATTGCCAATAAGACCTGGGATTTAGTTCCTTACGACCCTAGCAAAAATGTGGTAGGTTGCAGGTGGATTTATAAAACTAAATATAATTCTGACGGGTCCATTGAGCGTCATAAGGCTCGGTTGGTTGCTCAAGGTTTTAAACAGCAAGCGGGAGTAGATTTTTCGGAGACATTTAGTCCGGTGGTTAAACCCACTACTGTTCGTCTTCTACTTTCCTTAGTTACCTCTTTTGGCTGGAGTGTCCGTCAGTTAGATGTTAAAAACGCATTTTTGCTTGGTTATTTGACTGAAGAGGCCTATATGCGTCAGCCACAAGGTTTTGTCCATCCCTCCTTTCCTCATCATATTTGTCGGCTTCGTAAAGCCCTGTACGGTTTAAAACAAGCTCCGAGAGCTTGGTTTCACCGCTTCAGTGGTTTTTTACTTAGTCATGGATTTCTCTAGAGTAAGTCTGACTCCTCTATGTTTGTGTACCGTCGTGATTCGTGTTCCATATATATTATGTTGTATGTTGATGATATACTTATCACAGGGAATTCCTCATCCATAGTCTCTTCATTTATTAATACTCTGTCTCACACTTTTGCCATGAAAGACTTGGGTGAGATCCACTATTTTCTCGATATTCAGACACTTCATAATCCTAAGGGGATTTTTCTGTCACAACAAAAATATATTTTCGATCTCTTGCGTCGTTTTCATCTACACACAGTCAAACCTGTTCGTACCCCACTTCCTTCCCGTATTACTCTCTCTTTGGCTGATGGAGAACTCCTGGCTGATGGTACTGAATACCGCAGCATGGTTGGTGCTTTGCAATATTTGACTATTACTAGACCGGACATTACTTATGATGTGCATTTAGTTTCCCGTTTTATTCACGACTCACTTAATGGCTGTGAAGCGTATTTACAGATATTAGCAGGGTACTGTTTTTGAAGGCCTATGGATGCGGAAAGGGGGTGATACGTCTCTTATTGTTGCATATTCAGATGCAGACCGGGCAGGATATCCTAATAGTTGTCGTTCTCCTACAGGTTATGCCATTTTTTGGGGGAGATAATCTGATTTCCTGGCGGTCTAAAAAGCAGCCCACGATATCTAAATCGTCTACGGAGGCTGAGTATCAGGTTGTTGCATATACCGTTCAGGATACACTTTTTATTCGCTCTCTTCTTGCCGATATGGGCTACTATGTGCCCAAACCAGTTCAGCTCTACTGCGACAACGTTTCAGCCTCATATTTAGCACTGAATCCAATATAGCATGATCGGAGCAAGCATATCAAGATTGATTATCATTTTGTCAGGGAACGAGTAGCTCATGGTGATCTTATTGTTAAATACATTCCCACACAATTTCAGTTAGCCGATATATTTACGAAAAACTTGTCTAGTCAGCGTTTTGAATTTTTAAAACCCAATCTGCGCGTCATGTCTTCTGCTCAGATTGAGAGGGTGTAATAGCCCAGTATATTTTAGGATATTATTGTACCTTCCATATTATCATTCTATTATAAATATACCATAAGGCTACCTAGTTTGGTAAGCCATTATTCCCATAATACTATTCTCTCATAACATAAACATTTCTTAAAAAGATCATAATATAAAACTTTGATCTAACTAAAAACATTGCCTTAAACATTTTGATTTGAAACTCAAACGTCTAAGTGAAAATTCATACGCTATACATTTATAAACATGACTAATTTTATATACGCGCATTGCGTGATTAGAAAAATGTGTATCGAATCTTGAGTAAATTCAATTATTTTTAAAAGTTTACATATTGACTTTTGTAGTTAGCAAGAAACAGAGTATCTAACATTCCTTCATAACTAAAGATCCAAAAAATAAATAAATAAACTAAATGAAACTTGCAAATCCAAAGAAGGATTAGACATTTTTTTCTCATCCACATCCGAAAAACTTAATAAGATTAAAATATATCCAGTACATGTTTATTGTTAGTTCTTTTGAGCAATTTCCTTAAGGAATTTTTTCTAATGTGCACAAAAACATTACGAATATGGAATATAATTAGAAAAATTCTCTCTAAAAGCTTATTAAAAAGTGTCTTCATGCTTTCCTCATTAATCTTGGTTTATTTTATTTTCTAATTAAAATGAATATTTTTAAAATTTTGTTGTGATTTATGGGTGGGAAATGGATGATTTGAGAAATTATTTTTAGATTATAATTTTATGATGGATGGATTCAAAACAATCCATTAGTTTGTTTTTTATCTATTAAAATCCAATGCATCAACGGCTCATTAAAATTTAAATCATCTCAAAGTGGATTCCAGGAGTCTAAGTAGAATTCAACTAAACTATTAAATTGTTTAGAAACAAGTTAACGGAGCTTTAATGTCTAGGCTAACAGAGTAATGGTCCAAGTATACACATATAATCAAAATTGTACAACCCCTATATCTAATGGTACCAACATTTTTATTTTATGATACCCATTATACCCTTATGTTGGTCCCTATTTCTACTCTATAATGTATAAGATCTGATTAATAGGAGTAGAAGAAGCTTTCCATTGATAGCCAGAAAGTTTACATAAAGATGAAGAACATGTAGCGTAAAACTTTCGTAGGCTTCTAGTCTATACGCAGGGAATTTTTCTAAGGGAGGAAAGCTTAGCCTACTCATTCTCCAAAGGGGCATATTTATAGCCTTGGAGAATGGTAGGTTAACAAATGATTGGGCTCCAACTTTTAGGAGACCCATTCCTATTGAGGCAACCATGCCTTTACCAAATAAGGCCTAATTAAATATTCTAGCTACTATTACAAAGGCTAGATAAAGACATTGATCACAATACATGAAAATATCTCTAACAATCTCCCCCTTTGTGATCATATGTTCTTTGTCGGCTCTTGCGGCTTTGTCCGCCTCTTGTAGTAGTTGCTTCCCAGTGCTAGAGCATGTTCATATTGACGCAGCATTCTCCTCTTCTCGAGTCGCTCATTGTTTGCATCTAGCACCACCTTTATTAGTCGATCAAATTCTTTCAGTTCAACTTCTTACGTCTTCTTGGAAAGGCTTCATGAAGAAATCCTTACAATCCCCCCCTTGGTGTTATTCATTCAATTCGTTCTTTGATGCCGGGGGTTGAGGGATTCTTCAAAATCTTGCTTTTAATCCTTGCCTTTCAGAAGTTTCTCTTGATCAGCTTAAATGAATCCGATAGCGCCTTTAGAATGATTGTTCCGAAGAAATCTAGGCGCATAAGGGATTCATCTTTAGTATTTGATCATCTGACCTCTGTATCCTCCAGAATGTAGCCTTTTCTGACTATTCGGTTGTGAATGCTTTTGAGGAAGAGTTGTTGGTGGCACAGCGGAAAATGATGGTTGACTTTTGAGCATGGCTGACCTTTAGATTTGAAGCTGACTTAGCAGTTGATAAACATGAGAGAGTAGAGAGCCATTGTTTTTGAGCTGGAGGAGAGAAGTGTCCGAGAATGATTTTTGAGAGTAAACAACATGTGGACCACTCTCCCCCCTTATGACAATCCAATGAATCAGGATGTCTTGCCTTTATTCTTTTATTCTGGAAAACTGAAAATGCAAAAAAAAATGAAAAGATAAGAACCGGAGACACTGTGGTGTTCCGTTGACACAACATCAATGTAAACATTGATTTGTGGCCTGTATATAATGATAGAAACATTGTAGCTCTAACAGGACTTCCAACCAATCATTGTGAAACATCTGAAGTAGATGTCACTCTGGTTGTTATGGCATGATCACTAGGATCAGCATAGATAATTGTAGCCCCCCGGGATCATGTAGACACCCGTTATCATTACTATAGAGATGAACTCTAAATGATGGCCTGAAAATGTTGGTGATTTCTATATATGTTGCAACATCAGGACTTCCATCCAATCATCGGTCTGCATCTATAGAAGATGAGCCTATGGAAGTTCTCGCATGGTCACTTGGACCTGCAACTGACTCTAAAAATGTGTCTGTGTCCTAGAAAATTCAAAACATTTGAGAGTGAGATAACTAGACACGACATGATCAATGAAAGTTCAGTGGCATGGGGCTGTGGGCCACTGTAGTCAGTATTACTCGCCTCGGAAGGAGACGGTAATGAAAGATGAGGTTCCCCGTGAATAGTGATTAAACACCTGTCTGTTGGGAGATGGGTGAGTGGTCTAGGATAGGGTTGTGCATGCACTGTTTGGACAAAATGCAGCGACTTCTACCTGGGATCTGAATAAATTCAGTCCTGAACCTATGGGGATTGTCCGGAGTATTTGAGTGACAGGGATTGATTCCTCGATTGATAGCTCATTTGAGGTAGCAGATTTGTCATTGATTATTGTCTTCTTGCTCATCAGAGCCTTCTGCTTCCTCACTCTCATAATATTCACTCATTCACTCACTCTCGGCTTTGTCCCTTGGGTAGGCTTAGTTGGGTTTACTAAGCCATTGGGAATTATCTCTCATTGATCTTGTTTATTTTCTCTCTACGCTCCCCCTCAACTAGAGCACTCGGTATGCTTTGTCATTGTTCCACTGGGAGAAGAAAATAGAAAAAACAAACTCCCCCTAAAAAATTTGCATCCTTGAGAGAAACCTTGCATTTATCCGTATTTTGTATTGCTCAACCTCCTGTTTGATATCATCCCATTATGTCCATTCTCCGTTCCATCTCTCATCGAGGATAATCTCTTCTAATTGATCATGGGTGAATGGGGCTTGATGTTCAGCTTGATGTTCAGAGGGAGCCTGTTGCTTCGGTGACCTGTGAGAGGTAGAACCGGGATCACTTGGATTGCCCGTTGACATCAGATCAGAATTAAGTTCTAACTGATGGCCTGATATATTGATGTACATGAAGTAGCAACCTCAGGACTTCCACTCCATCCTTGGTCTACATCTATGAAAGATAAGCCTCAGAGTGTTCTATCTAGCTCGACCATGCTAGAAAATAGGGGTTGAGTGGTATGGCTTTTGGGTTGGCTAGATGATTGGGGCTGTTCGTTGTTTGAGGATTCAGGTTGTGGTGGTTGGCTAGTTGACGCAACATGCTCAAGTGTCCGCTGCCTCTTGTTCTCCCCCTCATGAGGATCCAAATCGTCGGGGTCCTCATGTGAACGTTTGTGACCGCGGAGACTGTCACTGCATGTGTTGTCGGTTTCTTGCTAGCATAATAGATTGGAGTTCCTTGAAAGTCATAGTGCGTGGATTAGGGTAGGGTGTGGTCGATATAGGGGAGGACACTAGTTTTGTATCTTGGGTTCCCCTTGAGGTGGTAGGAGTGGTAGGTTGTGTGGTGGAGGGTTCAGAATTTTGACGTGTAAGGAAAGGGGTAAGTTGTTGTTGTTGGGAGTGTGAGGATGATGGTTGAGGTTGGATGATGTCGTTAAACAGCCTCGGGGTGTTCATGAATTCCTGTGCCCGAGCGGTTATTGTTTCGTGCACCCATGGCTTAATGGTGGAATCCATGAAACGCTGCAAAATGACTTAAAGGTCGGTAGGGTCAGGGTTTCCGGTTACAGGGGTAGTAACCGTTGTCACAACATCAGTAAAGATTACCGATGTGTGGCCTACAGATAATGATGGAGGTATCTGTTGTGCAGCAGGACTTCTGATTATCATCGACTTATCTCCGATCGTTGAGGACAGGTAAAGTGCACCTGTTGTGTGCGGTGGTGTGAGCAGTGTATGTGTCCTAGAAAAAGTGGAAAATGTTGGGAGGGTGGAACCTAGACTCAATGTGGTTGAAGGAGGGGTAGTGGTCTGGGGCGGAAGACCACAAAGAATGTCCTCAACTGCGTCGTAAGGAGGCAGTGAGGTGGGTATAATGTCCCCTATTTGTGAAACTACTGCCTGTTGGGAGGCAGTAGAGTGGTCGGGTGAGGCTTGTGCATGCGCAGTTGGGCTAGATGCTACGTCTTCTACTCGGAAACTGAAAATATCAGTCTCTGCACCTATGGGGTTAGCCCGGTTTATAGTGTCTAGGTCGGAGCAACTGTCATATAGGGCTATTTCATCAGCCAAGTTGCTTGTTGTTTGCACTCTTTGCATAGGAATTGATGATGAGGAGGGGTTGTCATGACGTACCTTGGAGCGAGTCTCACTGATGATGTTTCCTCGAGTGTCCTTGATTTGGTGAGACTGCTCTTGTGTTGTAGCCCGAGAAAGCCTGATAATGAGTCGTCCTATCTTTGCGGGGGCTTTCTTGGCTTTCTTAGCATTAGCATTTGCATAATCGTCATCCTCATCATCGTCATCGTTGTCGTTCTCTTCAGCCATGCTCCCGGAGCCCTCATCGTCAGCATGTTGTGATCTGGTGTGTTTGACGAATCATTGGCGTTCTCCTCAGCACCTTGGGGGTGGCCCTCAGCAGACATAGTCTGATCATCATGGGGCCGACTTGCCATTGGTCTCTGTGGCCGGGTTGAACTCTTAGGACCTTTACTTTCTCTCGACTGACTCCCTGGGGTAGGCTCAGGGGGTTTATCTGAGCCATAGGGAGTATGACGTTGTTCCTCTGCTAGTAGCGTCAATCAGATTGATCCTTCGAATTAGCTG